TATATATATATAATTATTATATAGAACAAGACCTACCTCGGTTTAGAGTGAGAATTCGAATACTGAAGTGCGAAAAAATCCCAGTTTCCTGTCAACACGGGTATCATACGATTAACTTGAATCCGCTCCCCGTGTTCCCAGTGGTATAGATCTGTATAAAAATATTTTGCAGTACTTGCAAAACTAGTCCACTTGGGGACTCGATTCTCTGGCACTTCGCGTTGCAGCTCACAAATCTTGAAGAAATTGTGTCCCAGAATGCCCTTGTGTTTGAAAGGTTATTTTCTGTATATTGTATGCAGAGATTTTAGACACGACTAATCAGGCCAGTTTCCAGTAATGAATACACACAGTTTAAACATAAGTCAGACGATTTTTGGATAAAGACAAGTTCCAGTAAATGTTGGTTTGTCCATCACACCTTGTTAGCAACATCTTGTGCACTCCCTAGATGCTGAAGAACACTGTTGCATGAATATCCTGCAAAATGAAAAAGAACCTTAATGGGAACAGTTGAGATAGTAATAACTTTTTTGATGAATTGTCGCACTGCAGGAACCCAAAATAGAAGGTTGTTGGTGTTTCCGTTCTGTCTGGAATTACAGTTCTCTAAGAAAATCTCGACCAAAACAACTTCCAAAAAGGCTACGACTCGAGACCATTTAGAACTGCGTGGTGTAAATCCATTTCAATGAACGGAATAATTGGATTGCCACCGACTCCGCGACAAGGCCAGAGGAGAGAGGAAGGGCGTCTGAGGGCAGAGAGGTTTGCAATCTGAGCGCGGACCAGGGCGGCAATGATGGGAGGGATACTGACAAGCGGACACAGAGTTGTCTCAAGTATGAATGTCTGCTGTTGGAAGATCAAATGTACGGGGAAGGTTGCTATGAAATTCTTGGAACTCACATTGTACGTGCCATTTAGGAAAAGTTCGCTTAGAGCCGTATGTGCACGTCACGCGCACACACACACACACACACACACACACACACACACACACACACACATACACATTTTAACACACAAACACATACACAAAGACACACACATACATACACACACGCACATACAAACCCACATTCACGTAAGCAGAGATAGAAAGAGAGAGAGAGAGACAGAGAGAGAGAGAGAGACACAGAGAGAGAGAGAGAGAAATACATATGCGCGCGCACACACACACACACACAATAGATACATACATACATACATACATACATACATACATACATACATACATACATAA